GAGGCTAGCTGCATTTGTGCGCGCGGTCGGTCAACCTAAAGTTGGGCGTTATAACATACAACAGATAATATACATATTTCATTATATATTTTTAATCTTACAACACATTAGAATAATGAACCATTGACTGTTATAATATTATATTCATTATCGTTAGAAAGCGTCATCTGTTTACGTTTACGGTCCAACCGTCGCGTCGAAGCCGGGTTGTTCATATATTGAAAGTCTCCTTGTTTTGTCTTAGACTTATGTTAATAGAGCGTGCCATTTGAACTTTAAGACAATTAATTGGACAATAAATAATAAGTGACAAATCTTGCCGTGGAGCGTGGAACTGAGTAGTTGCGCGTCTTGTTAATATAATTGCCGTACGGCCGCCCTGACGTATGTACTGCGCGAACCTGAGTTTTTTGCGACGCGGTCCGGTGATACAGTATATTTCACAAATAGTGAGTTCGTTATAACATGGGTTCGGTTAAATCTGGTTGAATTTGTTTGAATTAACCTAAGTAACTTGAATTAATATCGAAGAAAAAGAAATACTGCATAAATAAAATAAATAAATAATTATAATTGCATAAGTTGATACAAAATGCTATGCAATAGTTATACCGCGGCAGTCCCCGAGTGCCATACGTTTTTTTTATTTCTTTTACAATTAGAGTTAAGTTAAGAGATTGTTTATTATAAAATCAGACATTATATTCTGTATAAATTAATGCCTAATAATTGTACAGTATGTGAGAGAAAATAATACAATTGCCAGACAGTGGTGAAGGTGGTGTTAGTGGTAGTGATGCTGGTGTTGGTGATAGTGGTGCTGGTGTTGGTGGTGGTGCTTGTAGTATGGTTGATGGTGGTGGGTAGTGGACTATCACCAACATTATCACCAAAGTCATTACTACCACCATGAACAGCATCATCACCATCACTACCACCATCAACACCACAACTACCCCTACTGACACTACCACAGCCGTTACTGCCACCACCTGATTCTTTGTAGTGATGAATACGTCTTACGAAAATGATATTGATAGAAATATATAATATGAAGCTTGTGTAAGAATACCTATTTCCTTAAAATTCTCTTGAAGGGATTCACGCGGTTTTTAGTTATAAATTGCACGTATTTTCTCAGTATTCGCCGCTTTACCCTACAGCAAGATTCAATAAGACATAATACATACTATGAATATTAGAAAATTATACTATTTTTGCAGTTTCAATTTAAGTTACAATGAAATCACATTTTGTTTTATGCTATTTAATATTGTTTTTTTCCTCAAATACAAAAATACAAACATTCATAAGGTGACAACCCTATCAAAATAGGTAAACATTTTCGACGTTGTTAGGAAGCTTCCCCCTTACTCTGTGATGTAAGACAACAAAAGAACACATATATACACACATATGTTTGTAGTACTTAAATGAATGTATGTTTTTTTTTTTTTTTTTTTTTAATTTATTTATATCATTATAGTAAATACATGAGTTAAATGTAATTAACTTGCAAAAACCGTGAGGTTTGTCCGCAAGTTACAGTCTCACACAATTAAAGGTATAGTACAATCACATACATTATACAAACTATTAATACAATCATCTAATTGATGGCTGCTTATAAACAGTAACAATAATATTACGTATATACGTACATATTTTTAAGTGATAAATTTCAAATCACCGTAATTGCAATCACCGGCGTTCTGGACGGGCCGTATTGACAGAAAAACCGGTTTCTGTGAGCCCACGAATGTGAGCGTGACAATTTGATCGTTCTTATCGGGCGATCGGATTATTTAGTTGCAGAAGCAGTATACAGGTTGGTGCAAAAACTGTGAATTGATCTTTTTTTTTATCATTATTTATAGTTTTTCATTTTTGATTTGTTTTTATTCAGTTGCAAGTATACATATTTAATATATATTTATAAAAATTAGAACAATTAATTGATGATTTTATAAGTATATTATATAATTTTGTATTTAATATTTATTTACTCCCGTTGTAGCTGTTCATAGAAATATTTTTTGAATTTGTTTTTGTAGTTATCTTCATTGATATCTGAGAGTATCGTGGGGGGTATTTGGTTCATTAAAGTAGGAATTAAATATCTATTTGTACGTTTACCATAGTAGTTATATATTTTAGGTGTTACGAGTTTATTTTGTATAACTTTTCTTGTAATAGTTTTATGGTTAGTTTTAACTTGCACTTTTTTATTGTGAAATTGTTCTATTAGTATTAGCATCTGAAATTTTGTGTGTATAGGTAATACTTTGCAAAATTTAAATATTCCATTAATATTGTTTTCACTGTATATTTTTGTTTTTACTTTCTTAGGTATAATTATTTTCAATATTCTGATTTGTAGGTTATATATTTTATCTAAGTAAGTTTTAAATGTTTTTCCATAACTTGTAATGCCATAAGAAATAAGAGACTCAGCAAGAGCGTTATACAGATTTATAAGGATGGGAAATGGCATTTTGTATTTTAGTATTGCAAACTTTGCTAGCATAGCCCGTAGCTTGTTACATACATGCTCAACGTGTTTACCCCAATTGAATCTTTCATCCACAATCAGACCTAAGTATTTATAAGTGTTAACTTGTTCTAGAGGATTACAATTACAGTTATTATTAACTTTAGACGAACTATGAAGGCAGTCGTGGCTGTGTGCTAGTATTTTTATTGGTCTTTCGTATTTGTTAGAGTGCATCGAGCGTACATGTATAATTTTAGTTTTAGCAGAATTTAATACGAGTCCCGCGTCATGTGACCACATACAGAGGTTAGTAAAGTCATGTTGTAGCATTTTTTCTGCTTTTGCTATGTCTTTATTGGATATTACTAGGCAAGTATCGTCTGCATATTGATACACTGAACTATGTTTAATCACATTCCTCATGTCATTTACAAAGGCCAGATAGTGTAAAGGGCCAAGAACCGATCCCTGAGCGGTTCCCGTAGTTACAGGTATTTCATCACTGTAATCATTTTCAATTCTCACCCGATATTTTCTATCTTTGAGGTAATTTTCACACCACCTGAGTAAAGGCCCGCGTATGCCTGTATTTTCCAGTTTTTGTATTAATAAATCGTGTTTCAGAGTATCAAATGCTTTACTGTAGTCAATAAATAAAAGAATTATGTGTTGTTTGTTGTCTAAATAAGTATTAATTTCATCGGTAAATTTTGATAACAAAGAAGTAGTTGAATTATTTTTTTGAAAGCCAAACTGGGTGCTGGACAGAACGTCATTCGATATATAATATTTATGTATCTCACTACATATATATTTTTCAACTATTTTATCTATTACAGGAAGTATTGTAATTGGCCTATAATTATCATAATCACAGTGCGACCCCTTTTTGTAGATGGGTCTCACTATTCCTACCTTTAATTCTGAGGGATAAATACCAGAATGAACACTAGTATTAATCAACTTTGCAATTGCTGTTGTGATTTTTTCACATAAGGATTTTATGTCTATACAGCGAATCTGGTCTGCTCCAGCGGATTTGTTTGTGTTCAATTTCTGGATTATTTTATTTATGCTCTTGCCATCTGCTGCTTTAAACCGCATTGAACTATTCTGAGGAAATATGTACTCTGCTTGATCTAAAAGGTTTTGTTTACAGTTGGGTAGTATTTTTTCAACATTTTTAACAAAATCTTTACCAAAATTATTTGCCAATTGTTTAGCTGTTAATTTGTTTTTTTGAAAAGCCTTTAATATCGCCGCATCTAATGATTTATTTACTCTGCCTGTGATGGAATTCAGAATATTCCATAGCTTCCTTGGGTTATTTCTGTTATTATTTATTTCGTGATAATAGTATTTGTTTCGAGACATTTCAATAAGTTTATGTGTTTTATTCCTAATTTTATTAAACTCTAGTCTTAGTATTTTATCAGTTGTATCTTTTTTTCCACTTGTTATATAGGTAGTCTCTTTTTTCGCAGTAAAATTTTATCTTATTATTTATCCATCTTTCCTTATTTCTTTTACTATTTATGCTATTTTTTGTAGTATATTTAGAATTATTATAACAGTATTCAAAGCTATTTTGAATAAAGTTATATATCTCTATCGGACACTGCATATTATCAATCTTATTCCACTCGACGTTTTCGAGAAGTGATATTAATTTTTTGTTATTAATTAATTGTTTGAGTTTTGACTCAGCCTGTACGCTGCTGCTGGTAGCCTCAGTTCCGGCGCACGATAGCACGCACATGCGGTGATCTGCCAGTACTGTTCCAAGCGCAGCCGAGTAGATGTCAGACGTGCGCGATCTCGCGAATATGTGGTCAATACAACTCCGCGTGATTTTTTCATTTCGAATCTCTATTCTTGTAAAATCAGAAATCGCTCTCGTCAGACCACACTCGGCCAAGCAGCTTAAGTAGTAATCATGAATGTTATTTTTTAATTCCAGGTCAATATTTATGTCTCCGATTATGTACAAGTCAGAGTGTTTGATTAAATTGTGACATAGTAGTACTTTAAGTTCATTAATAAAGAGATGCTTGCTTTCATTAGGCGGTCGATATAACGCGCAAATGTGAGTCATGTAGTGGTGGCAAGATTGGATGTTTACAATTAATGATTCACAGTGGGTTAATTTTAAGTTGTTTACTACTTCAAAACTGTGGCAATTTTTAATGTACATTATAATACCACCACCACGTCGCTGCTCACGAAGCTTACTGCACATTTCATACCCGTTTATAGAAAATAATTTAGACACATTACTACTTATTGAAATTCCTACTTCAGTTAGTATAATGACGTCTATAGCTATTGGTGATTGGTTTATTGTTTGCAGTAATGCACTAAAGTTTTTGATAATAGATCTAATATTTATATGTACAATATTAAAAAGATTAGTATGTTTAGGTAGATAGGTACTAAATTCACATAAATTTGCCGAATCATAAATCTCAGTTACTTCCAAAGTAGTGCCTAGTGCGTAAAGTTTCTACTATCGACTTACAATATGCTCCACCGCCATTTTGTCAATGTCACTTAGGTTTCGGATGATCACAGGCTTATCGTTATCATTCTTACGAACTAAAATTCTACCGCCCTGGAACCATATATATTTATAAGTAACCTTAAGTTTTTGCTTTGCTTGCCACAGAAGGGTTTTATTTGCACTGGATAGGGCACGTCGTATCATTATCTTTGTTCTTGCTGTAGCAGGATCTGGACAGGAAACGATGTCCTCTGCAAGTATAGTTACTTTTCTTGCTGCTTTTATCCACTGGTCCACTTGTTCCTCCTGTTTGAAAGATACCTGGATCACGCCCTCCTTTCCATTTTTCCCCTTTAATCTTTTAACTGTAGTTATTTCTTTTTTTACAATATTTAACTTCGTTGCTAGTGTATTTAGGATAATTTCCGTATTTTCGTCTTTTATTTCGGGTACTCCTGCGACTTCAAATGTGTTATTAAGCTGTTTTTGCTCAAGGTTTCCAATGTATTGTTCCATAGCATCGATTTTCAGCTCTAGATGTTTATTTTGGTTTGTTAAATATGTATTCTTGTTTTCCAGTTCTTTTATTTTTCCGCTAATTGTCGCTAAAGTGTCCATTATTCCATCCATTTTTTGACAACAAGAGCTGAGCGCTTCATTTACTGAGCCTATTTCTTTCTTTACTGCTTTTTTAACCTCGAATGATATGTCGCTTAGTAACTTTTTCATCGCGTTGGATCCGCTGTCAGTTCCCTGTGTTAATAATAGTTCTTCGTCGTCTTCCTCTTCCTCCTCTTGTATGACAAATGACCTTTGCCTTGGAGTTTCACGGCGACAAACTTCGCAGGTCCATTCCAGATTCTCAGTGTTGCGCAGTGCTGCTAATTGCTTAGATGTTAGTCTGGTGCAGGCCTGGGTAGCATGCACAGTTTTTGAGCATGTGTTGCACTCGAGAATAGTGGATTTCTTGGCTATTAGTTTGTCACAGTTGTCACACTTGGGCATTTTGCGTGTTTTTATTATAATTTCAAACTAAGGGTAGAAAAAAAAAACTTTGTAAACGTAAACACAAGTCAGCTGTTTCGTACAACGTCACGAGCGAGACTGATGTATATGTGTGTGTGTATTCATTTTTACTTTCCTTTTTTTCTATCCCACCAATTTGCCCTACCCCTGTCCTCTTCATGCAATCCTGTCCATTCAATGGTTCTTTTGTATATATAATTTCTGTAATTTTTGTATAGTGTGCAACAAAGAATTTTGAATAAATAAATAAATAAGATATTGTGTAAAAACAGACTGATATAATATTACAACTACTACACCAGTTAGCTGCGTAGTAAAAATGACCGAGATGGAGGAGTGTTAAGTGATTCGATTTGCTTTGATAGGTTTGCTTTGATCTTCGTTACCATTCCTCGTATCGACGAGGGTCGTCCTATGACGCTCGGAACCGTGGATGATCAAGGTCGAATATCAGCATACCCTGACTATGCATGGCATGACAACCAGGATTTAAACTGCAATGGGATGACGTCGGTCTTCAGAGTGGCGGTAAGTGACACCTGCACATATCCTTGTTAAGTGTTGGTAATAAACTTTTTATTGCATTCTTTTCAAATGCAAAGTGGACAAACAATAAGTACAGTCGATATATTAGAACACAATCGAGAATTGTTAACATTAAAATAATATTACATCGACGAGTTCCGTAAACAGTTATCGTTTCTAAAATTATTGAATTTCCAATTTTATATAGTTATTTCTAAACGCAGTTTAATATCTAAATATGTAGTAACATATATTAGTAATCTATACTCTACGAGGGTGGATTGAAAAGTACTCGGCCTAACCAAGAAAATAAACACATACTAAATCAGTTATATTTTTATTTTTCTACATAATCACCATCAAGTTCAATACACTTTTGCCACCTCCCCTTCCAAGCATTTAGACCGTTGAAAAAAAATGATTCTTCCTTAGAGTCAAAATATGCGTCTACAGCTGCTTTGACCTCGTCGTTTGTCGAAAATCTTTGACCTCCCAAGTGCTTTTTTAAGTTAGGGAACAGAAAGAAGTCTGATGGTGCCAGATCAGGTGAATACGGCGGATGCGGTAACAGTTCAAAGCCACAGTTGTGAATTTCAGCCATTGACTGTACTGACGTGTGAACACGGGCGTTATCTTGATGAAACAGGACTTTTCTTCTGAGCATTCCTCGACGTTTTTCTTTTATTTCCTCTCGTAAACGACGTAGTAAGGTGCAGTAGTAATCAGAGTTTATAGTCTGACCCCTTTCAAGATAATCAATCATAATCACACCTTTCGAGTCCCAGAATACTGAAGCCATCACCTTATTTGCCGACAAAATCGACTTAGCCTTTTTAGGGGGTGGTGAACCAGGTCTTCTCCACTGTTTTGATTGTTGTTTTGTTTCCGGTGTACAGTAATGAACCCATGTTTCGTCTATAGTAACAAAACGATTCAAAAAATCATCTGCATCGGCTTCAAATAACTCCAAAGAGTCGCGTGAAATAGTCAATCGCGTCCTTTTTTGTTCAACTGAAAGCAGTCGCGGAACCCACCTCGCAGACACCTTGTGGAAACCCAACTCGTTGACAATGATGTTTTGAGTTCGTTCATAAGAGATGCCTATAATCTCGGCTATCTCTCTAATTTTTAATCTGCGGTCTCCCATTATTAAATCAAGTACTTTTTTAATATTTTCGTCAGTAGTTGACGTCGAAGGCCTTCCAGAGCGGGGTTCATCTTTCACACTCTCTCTACCACGCTTAAATTCTGCTATCCATTTTTTGACGGATGAATATGACAGAGCACAATCGCCTAATGTACTGACCATGTCATCATGGATGGCTTTTGATGATAGCCCCTTCTTATGGAGGTACTTAATGACGGCACGCTGCTCGATTTGCTCCATTCGCGGAAATTATGTCCGATTACTTTGTTAATAAATTTATAAAATCACAACTAATTATCGCACACGTTTCGAACTTCACACAATGAACTAGTCTGAACTGAACTAAATAATGTGGGTAGATTTGATTTTTAGAATTGAGTGGATCTGTGTTAGGCCGAGTACTTTTCAATCCACCCTCGTATATTTATGGGAAATAAAATATATCAAATGATTATGAAACTTTTACGCATCAACACCGGTATCTATCAATCACCGTTATTGCGGTGACGAAATAAGGTAGTCTGCGCTTATTCTGTTTTCTGCGTAATTTGTCTCGATTAGATATTGAAATGCCAAATATTATGAATAGTAAAATAGAATACCGAAAGAAGTGGATGTTATATTTACAAACACTACAAAGATACCTTCATTTTACCGAAGAGGATCGTCAACCACTCAGATTACCAATTTATTCTGATATATCTAATGAAGATTCAAATTAATTTAAAATTGGTTTTAAAAATAAAGAAAGAGATCTAAAAACATCAGTTGATGCTGATTATTCGTTGGAGGAGAATCCACGCATTAAAAGTAAAGAAAATTATGCAAATCCACTTTACACACCATCTTATATACTCAGTTTAATACCAAAAACTACACACTTTAATAAAAAAGTGAGTTATTATTAAACTTAGTTGGAACAAGTAAAAGTAAAATACATTAGGATAATGAAGGCACAGTCATAATTGATAATGAAAAAATTCCTGGAAGTAATATTGTTGATTGATTTAATTAATGATTCACTAAGACCCTTAAAAGAAATGATCCAAAAGGGTGGGTTAGATTTGCTAAAGCATTAAAAAATATAAAAGTATCACTTACTTATATCGGAAAACCAAAGAGATGTGAATTTGTTAACCAGCTTCAAGAAAAAGATCTGAACAAACCCTCTGAGATTGAAGTTTAAGAAAGAGTTACTTAAGTTTAAGAAAGGTTTACTACACCGAGCAGTAGAAAAAAAATCTATAACTAAAATACGTAAAAAGCTTGATTGGAAAAAATTTTATTTCTTCTAAGAAATTAACAAAATTTATTATGATCCATATAATCCTGCTGGTCTTGGTAGTATTGGTAAATTATCAAAAGCCATGAAGGGTAAAATGGATAAAAATCAAGTAAAGGAATGTCTACAATCACAAGAAACATATACATTACATAAACCCATTCGAAAAAACTTCCCCCGTAATAGATACATTCTATCAAATATTAATGAACTGTGGCATGCTGATTTAAGTGATATGCGAACTTATTTTCAATATAATGATGGTTTCAACTACATACTTTGTGTTGTTGATGTATTAAGTAAATATGCTTTTGCAAGACCAATGAAAAAGAAAAACTCAGAAACAACTAAAGAATGCTTTAAATGTATATTTACTGAAAGTAATTTAACACCTACTCGTATAAAATCTGATAAAGGTACAGAATTTATTTCAAAAGATGTACAAAAATAATTTAAATCTAAAGAGTTTAATTACTACACTAACAATCCTGACATTAAGGCCAGTATTGTTTGATCGATTTCAAAGAACTCTAAAAATGAAAATGTGGTGTTATTTCACTCATAATAATACTTAAATATATAGAAGTTTTACGAGATTTAATGTACTCTTATAGTCACAGCTTTCACTCTAATATTAAGATGTGCCCATGTGGTGTAAATTCCAACAATATTATGATAGTTTGGACTAATCTTTATGATAGACGGTGAAACAAACTTTTTCTAGGAAACCCAAAACCAAATTTCAATGTGAATAACTAGATATAAATAAACGTTTTCCAAAAGGATATAAATCAAATTGGAGTGATGAAATATTTATTATATCTTCAATAACTGAAAGATCCCCATGGGTTGTTTATACAATAACAGATTTACAAAATGAACTAATAGTTGGTACTTTTTATCAAAAATAATTACAGAAAATCACTTACAACCCCACCTTACAATATAAAATAGATAAAATAATTGACACTCGTTATTCAGGTAACAGAAAAGTAGTATTAGTGAAGTGGAAAGGTTATCCAGATAAGTTTAAAAGTTGGAGTTTAGCTTCTAGTTTAAAAGAAATATGAATAAAGTAAGTTTTAATTTAAATTTGCTCAGCAAAAGATCAAAGGAATACTTTCCTGAGTCTTGTTAGACTACATATTTTTCAACAAAATTACCAAAAGCTATGAAATTAGAAGTTGAATGGTTGGTCGAGTTTCAATATCCAAGTACTATGTTTACTGTTTGAGATCACGAAAATGTTATATACATTACAAAATCCATGTTAATGTCTAAAGAAGATAAATGATAAACCATCAACAGTGTACTACAAAAGACATATTCCAGTTACCAACTATGATAACGTTGAGCATATTTTAAGAGCGTTAAATGGTATCGGAGAGAACTTAAAATTTCACTATGATGAAATAACAAAATTTGTGTCTGTTTCCGTTTTGGATAAAAATATATCATCCGTAACACAATCACCTAAATTAAGTTTACAACTAGGTTATGAACAAAACAAAACTACACACTTGGGTTACCATCTCAACTATTTCTATATTGCGACATTATCGATCCTCAGATTGTAGGTGATGTTATAACTCCTTTACTAAGAGTAATTTTATTAGGTCCTACAAAATACATTTATGGTGCAAATAAAATGCATGTTTTTTTTTTGTCAGCGTTCGATATGCTGGAAATAGTTATAAGATCAAGCACAGGACAAAAAATACCATTCCAGTTTGGAACCGTGTGTATTAAACTACATTTCCGAAAATTATAATAATGAATTCTCTTCGTGATCATCTTAACCGCTCATGTGTTAACCGGCCTCTAGGAGGTTGATGTAAAAAAACTCGCGTATGTCAAGCGCTTCCTGTAGGTTGATCGGCTCCTACGCATTTTAATTTGCTAAATTGCCTCTTAAAACCATATTTATACTGCTCACTTTCGAACAATATGTAGGAAGACGACGACAAGTATGGTATAACGTCGCACTTCAAACATCTATTAATAAACAACGCCGGCTATTGAAATCTTTAGACATCGCGTGCATTTGTATATTCATGAATTTTGTTGTGGTAAAAAAATCTATGGGAGGTTTGTTATTTTAACAGATTATTGTTCAATAATGTATCTTTAAGTAATTATAATTCCTTGCTTCATTTTTCAGATATAATTATAACAATGTAGTTTCCCTACTTACTTTGTAACTTCGCACATACTTTAGAGATTTTTTAAACGGTTTAAGTGACTTACTTCCGGTATGGCTGCCTTGTGTTGACTCTTTGACGTAAGCTCATTCCTTTTTCGTGCGCGGTAAGTATCGCACGCGCTCTGCAAGCAACATGCCAAAAAGAAGCGCACAATCGAAACTTGAACACTATGCGAAAAATACGTAAAATCTAAGAAAAAGAAAGGCAAAGACGAAGAATAAGGCCTTTACAACTATCATCGTCAGAAGACGAAGGTAAGCAAAAATACAATCTTTAATCAGTGATAAAAAAAGTGTACAGTGTTATCAGCTTCGTAAATGCTCTGGGATTGACTGCGAGTCAATAACTTTGATATTTTTCGAAACTAAAT